CCCTGTCAGGTGGAGTTTGGCTGTATTCATCCTGAGAAGCAGCAAAAAAAGAAGAGTTATAAGAATTCAGGCACCATCTGGGTTAAGGTCTGCCAGGTAGGGCTCTTTCTTCCACCCTCCCAAACCTCCTAAGCAGTGGCCCTGATCTTGACCCCACTTTCCTTGTTGGCCACCAGATTGAGGCAGAGTTCTCTTTCTTGGACTACGTGATGGGTGGCTGCCAGATCAATTTCACAGTGAGTACTCAGTGGAACAGTGGGAAACTGACTGTAGGGAAGGAGAGAGGTCTCTCCACCAGATGCAGTCATGTCTTCCTCTGCCTTCCCAGGTGGGTATGGACTTCACAGGATCCAATGGGGACCCTTCCTCTCCAGATTCCCTGCACTACCTGAGCCCCTCTGGTGTCAATGAGTACCTGACAGCTCTGTGGAGTGTGGGCTGTGTGGTACAGGATTATGACACGTGAGTCCAGCCTTAGTGATTACGCACCCCAGAACCATTATGGATTCCTTATCAGATGTCCTCTTTCATCTCTCAACCCATGGGGGTGGGGGCAAAAGGGAGAATGTGGGTAAGGACTCCATTACTTCCCCTCTACTCCTCTGTCTTCCTCCCACAGGGACAAACTGTTCCCGGCTTTTGGATTTGGGGCCCAGGTGCCCCCTGATTGGCAGGTGCGCTCCTCCCTCATCTCTCACCTTTAACCTCAGGGTTGGGGAGTGGTCACTATCCTGGTGAGGGAGGGGTCAGGGAAGAACAGGATTTTTAACTGAGACATTAGAGAGGATCTAGTCTAGCCTCCTCATTTTACAGAGGAGGAAATAAAGCCTGAGGAAGAAGAGTGACCTCATCCTTGGTTGTAGTTAGGGAATATAACTGGGATGCTTATTTCCACACGCAGGTCTCTCATGGATTTGCCTTGAATTTCAATTCCAGTAATCCTTACTGCTCAGGTAAATTTTATCCTTACTCTAGCTTCTCTCTTTCTCCCAAATCCATGTTCCACCTTTACTTCTTGCCATTCTCCAGGCATCCAGGGTATTGTAGATGCCTATCGCCAGGCCCTGCCCCAGGTCCGACTCTATGGCCCCACCAATTTCGCTCCCATTATCAACCATGTAGCCCAATTTGCCACCCAGGCTGCACAGCAAGGAACTGCCTCGGTGAGAAGGGCCCATGGTACTTGGGGTGTCCTGTGGTACATGATCAGGGAGGATATGGGGTGACTTTGAGGCTAAGACCCCTCTTCGTGACACCTGTGTTTTTGGACCCTTCAGCAATACTTTGTGTTACTGCTGCTGACAGATGGGGCCGTGTCAGACGCTGAGGCTACGAAGGAGGCTGTGGTCCGGGCCTCACACCTGCCTGTGTCCATCATCATTGTGGGTGTTGGGGGTGCCGACTTCACAGCCATGAAGGAGCTAGATGGGGATGGGGGTCCTCTGCGCGCCCGCAGTGGAGAGGCTGTTGCCCGAGACATTGTCCAATTTGTGCCTTTCCGCCAGTTTCAGAATGTGAGCCAAGGGGATGGGCTTTGGAGTTTGAGGGAAGACAGATCAACCCTGGATTGGGAGAAGGATCAGCTAATCTCTTACCTGATGTCTGTCACTTCCACAGGCCCCTCGGGAGGCACTGGCCCAAGCAGTCCTTGCAGAGGTGCCCCAGCAGCTTGTGTCATATTATAAGGCGCAGGGCTTGGCTCCCCACAAGGCCCCAGTGCTGCCTGCCAAGGACCCAGCACCAGCCCCCAAGAACTAATGGACCACGGCACCAGCTGTCTTTTTGCACGTGACTAGTTTCTGTGCCTCTTGCTTCTTCCATCAGTGCATCATCAGTGGGAGGAGGAACAGAGCACCTGTCTCAGTTGTGGACATTTGCGCTTGCTGCTTTGGATTATATGTATGCCATAGGCCAGGACACTCTCAAGCCAATCTGGCCCCATTATATTTTGTATTTTTTTATATTTGTATACATTATGCTGCTTCTGCATTCTTCTCTTCATGTATACATATCCCCTGCATTTAATAAAGATCAATCAAAACTGAATTTCTGTCTACCTGTTCTGATGAAGGCCCAGGGGAAAGAATCATTCTTAGTCAATACCATACAAGAGACTTTACTGAATGCTGTTTGGGCCCTTTTACTGAGCTATAACTATAGAGCCTTCTGTGTGTGCAAAGGTCCTATGCTCCTCTTTTCAAAGGGGAAATGGGATGATTAATGACCATTTTCTGGATATGTTAGAGGATTCTTATTCACCTGTTGGTTAAACTAGATGGCCGCAAGGATCCTTTGAACTTGGAGATTTAGTGATGTTCCCTGGCCTCATGAAGATGAGTCTAGCAGGGGCATAAGACATGGCTACAAATAACAAACTTTTTGGTGCTTTAAAGTTTACAGAGTACCTTTCCTATAACAATCCTGTGAGATGATGCAAGTGTTAATCCCATTTTACAGGAGAAACATACCTAGGAAAGGGAAATGACTTGGTTAAGATCACAAGCTAGGGCAGTGCAATTTAGTCCTCTTATCCTAGGCCTAGAAATTTTTCTTAGGTTTCACCACTGGGGCTCTCAGGCTACAGTGCATAAGTACAAAAGAGGCAGAAACAAGATATTCTAAAGGAGTGAACTAGCCAGCCTTCCAGTCCCAAGAGCACTTATGGGCCCAAAATGCCACAGTGCAGCAATACGAACACCATATCAATGCACCAAATCTAGAAGCATAATTTTGGATTGGTCAGTTTTCAAGACCAAACATCACTCAAGCTAAGGTGTGAGACCTTCCTGGAAGCTGTGGCAACACTTTATTGGTCTTTTCCTAAGTTGAATTTTACGTAAACCATTTGTTGACAAATTTCATGCCATGCTTATAGAAGAGCTTATTGTATTGTATTAGCCTCATCTAAGTGAACTGGTGATAGGCCCTAGCCAATGAAAGGGAGGGGAATGGGGAATTCCTGGCTAAGATTCCCCAGCAGGCCAAAATGAGCGTTTGAAATGTGCTAAATTCAACAGAAGAATATATGTGAGTGCAGTCACAAGCAAATTTACCAGGACAGTACTCTTAACTCAGGCTCACACAAGTAGAGAATAGCCAACCCCGGGTTTGCATCCAGGTCCTTTGATTTTTAAATCTAATACTTATTTTCCCATGCTGCCTTAGCAGGGAGAAGGAAGTAGAGAACCTAGCTCTGAATCTATGATCCTGCTCTGAATCTTGCTCTTCTACGAAAGGCTATCTCCTTACTGCCCCCAATGGCTCTGTCCATTTGTACCCCCTGCTGTGAAGTATAATTGGTATGTGCCTGATCCAGTTGCATTACTATTACTTATGTGATCTCTAAAGTCCTTTCCAGCCCTATATCCTGTGATCTCAGCTGAGTTTTAAGTTTATTTGAAGCAGAGATGAGATAGGGGTGGGGAACCTGGCGGCTTCGAGGCCACAAGTGGCCTATCTTGAATCCAAGATAGTCAAAGGGCCTCTCTTGACCTAGAGGGCACTGTGGCCTTGAGGCCACAGGTTCCCCACCCCTGGAATAGCTGCTGCATCGAAAATGATACCAGCATGGCTCTGGAGTTGGTCCTTTCAGTCTAGGGGTGGTTCTGACTGCATCAGTAGGTGCCTTGGGTTTGCTCCACCATGAAGGAATTGAGACATGACTCCTCTCATCCCCGCAAAGATCAGGGTTGGGGACACCTGCAAAGGAAGATAGTGATAGGAACTCATTTGTATTGTGAGGAATGGGGCTTCAGGAAAGCTACTGAGCTGAATCTGAGAAGCAAAAGGTTCTCAGGGCTCAACCTGAGACATTCTGTAATTTATGTATCTGCAGGGCAAAGGAGACTGCACAGAAAAGGCTTTTAGGAGCCAAAGCTTAGGAAAGAGCAGTGAAGCTGTAGTTTGAGCTACATACCGTTATTCGTAAATCCAAATACATCTTTTGGGGGGGGTGAGGCGATCGGGGTTAAGTGACTTGCCCAGGGTTACACAGCTAGTAAGTGTCAAGTGTTTGGTCTGAGGCCAACTTTGAACTCGGGTCCTCCTGACTTCAGGGCCGGTGCTCTATCCACTGTGCCACCTAGCTGCCCCCCAAATACATCTTTCAAGTAGTTTTGGGGGAGGCTACCATTATTTCACACAGCAGATTTTTGGATACAGGGCAGATTTATTTGCTTTCTGAGGATGGATGGGATTTTTTTTTTTAGGCAATTGGGGTTAAGTGACTTGCCCAGGGTCACACAGCTAGTAAGTGTCAAGTGTTTCGTCTGAGGGCAGATTTGAACTCAGGTACTCCTGACTTCAGGGCCGGTGCTCTATCCACTGCGCCACCTAGCTGCCCCAGTGGATGGGGTTTTTAAAGAAAGATGGCCCAGCTGACTAAGGAATTACAACTAATCCCATTTGGATGCAAAATTTACTCAGTACTCAATGCCTTATGGTCACTGGCTACAATTCACCTTAGCATCTTGGAGATCCCTCTACCACAAAACACAGAGTCCTGTGAAAGTAGGTGTTCAATAAATGTTGAGTCAAAGATGAATAAAAAGCAAAGCATTGACAATAAAGCAGAGATCATTATCTCCTTTTTTGATTCTGCATCAGAAATGTTCAGGGGTGGAGCCTCAGCAGGAGCTAACTGATGAAGGGGACATGAGTAACGGAGATTGCAGTCATCTTCACGTCTCGGAGGTGTGTGTGTGTGTGTGTGTGTGTGTGTGTGTGTGTGTGTGTGAAGTCTCTTCACAGTCACTGTGTAATGTGAAGCCAAAATAATTTGCCCGAGGTAGTGTAAAAGCGAAATATGACGGGAATGAGCTTTGGCCCAAGGAGGCTATTTTGGAAAAGGATAGGAGATATCATTGTCTCTAGGACATCCAATGCTGTTGGAATACTGGTAGGTAGAGACACTGACCACAGACCAGGGGTGAAAAGAAGAAAAAAATTAGCTTATAGAATGTTAAAAACAACAACAACAACAACAACAACAGAAGGGGGCTGATCCCACTCGATTTTTCCAACTCTGGTTTGACTGTCAGAGGAGGCCTAGAAAGAAATTTGCTTGTGGTAGACCTGGGTCTAGAACCCAAACTTCTTGAGCTCTTTCTGCTCAGGGAAAAAGTTATGCAGACTCTCCTGCCCAAAGGAAGGAGACCTATGATAAATGGTGGCAAGTTCATAGGATTAATTTCCTAGAGGGAAAACAGGATGCTTTCTCTAGAGTGAAATCCAGGCGGGCTCTTGTTTGGAGAGTGTATTTGTCATTCTCCCAAGGAGAGAATTAGACACCCACAGACCTAGTCCCCCCAGTCCCTAGCTCCCCATGAAGAGATCCCTGAAATCTGCTCATAGGGAATTAGCAGGAGGTTTAATGAAGAGTAGTAGTAGGTTCCCCCTTTCTCTCCTTTTGTCCTATCTTCTCTCCTGCGTCATCATGCCTCCGAAGCCCATGGGCCCGCACACGGTATAAGCAGGTGAAACGTGGGTGTCCCCAGTTGCTGAGTATCTGTATCTTCACCTTTGGGAAGGCCATGGGGGGCTCATTCTAGGGAGAAAGACAGAGGCCTGAGTCCCAAGCCCTTCTTATTCTGGACTAGTCAGTACTGAAGGGACAGTGACAGCCCTTCCCCATGGTGCCTCAGCCCACTTTCCAATCTCCTCCCCAAGCCCTTTTCTCACCTTCAGATGGAATGTCTGAATCTCTGATTTCTCGACCTCAAAGGTGAATTTTCCCAAGAGAATTTCAGTCTTGTCATCGCCCTCGAGGCCCTGGGGTAGTGGGGAGGTAGAGACACAATGGGAGTCTGGTGAAATCAGAAAGTGTATCCAAGACGTGTCAATCTCACAGCTCCTCTTTTCCTTCCCCAGCAGAAGTTTCATCAGTTCTCCTTAGGGACCTGACAGTGGGGGACCTCACAGACTAATCTTTAGTCCTACTTACATAGACAGCAAAATCCTTGGGGGCACTGCTAGGACCTCCATTGTGGGCCACGGTCGGTGGTGGGTACTGTAGGGTGATGTCGCTTAGCTGAACTTGGCCAGGCAGCCGGATGACCACCTGGCCCTTAGCACCCTGGAAGGCCCAGCAGTTCCCAGGGAAGACATCAGGCTAGAGAAGTGATGACACAAATATTACATAAGGTCAGGCCAGTAACCCATGGGTCATAGGGTCTACAGCTTCAAGATACCTTGGAGAACATCTATTTCAATTCACTCATTTTAAGGATGAGGAAACAGGCTCAGAGATATTAAGTGACTTGCTAATGGTAATCATCATCATTTTCAAAGCACTTTAAGGTTTGTAAAGCACTAAACAAATCTTACGTCGTTTAAACAACCCTAGGAGGTAGGTACTGTTATCCCCATTTTATAGATGGGAAAACTGAGGCAGACAGCTCTTAAGTGACTTACTCAGAGGTTACACAGAAAGTGTCTGAGGTACAAAACCTAGTAATGACAGGACTGTAATTTGAATCCACGACCCTTTACATTACAACCCACTACCAGTCCTGAATGACCAAAAGGGACCCCCATTAACCTGCCACATAGATCCCCTAAGGATCTATCTACATCCATCCATTCAGAGAACCTGCCCCTGCCTCATCCACACTGACAAGCATCTTCCTCACTTTTTTCTAGATTTGTCTGATTTTTGGCTTATGGACCCCTCCCCACCAGAGGGTTACTTTGAGCCTGGTGAGCTTGAAGATACACTAGATGCAGGGAGTATATCCCCCTTGACTGTCCCAGTTCCTCACAGGGTCTTTCAGTACCCACTCTACTCTCTTTCACTGGGTTTCAGGTTCCCCTCATACCTCCAGGATGACTGTGGGGGGCTTGGCATAATTCCAGAAACTGAACCGATTCCAGAAATAAGCTGTATCCCTGTCCTCATAGTCATGAGATGTTTTGTCTAGGTCGATGGAAGCCCCTGCAACAGCCAAAGGGTCTGGGTTCAGAAATGGAGCCTAAGGGGACGGGAGTCTTCTGTTTCCATGTGTCTCTGCCTCTCTCAGTTTCTGAGTATTTCTATCTCTCTGTGTATCTCCATATCTCTCTTTCCCCAGGTATCTCTGTCTTAGGTAGTCTCACCCACGGAACTCAGCGCATAGTCAGGTTTTTGCACAAAATCTTCATTCAGTCTCTGGAACACAAGCTGGGCCACCCTCTGGGGAGAGACGAGGCGAGAAAGACCAGCTGAGTCTGGCCTGTGGGGAGTGGGGGACCAAAGGGGTGAGGTGTGCTTACCTCACTGTTGGCTGCTCGGATGCTGGACACATCCGTGTGGAGTTTATCAAGCTCAGCCTGAAGTTGTTGCAGCTGCATCCCCTGCGAGCGGACCCTGTCATGGTATTCACTGCAAAGGGAGGGTAGGAGAGCAAAGGGCAGGGAACAGGAAGCAGGAGCATAGGGTGGGAACATGGGAAAAAGGGCAAACCCCTCTCTTCCCCTCCCCACCATAGATATAAGGATGAGCCCTCAGGGGCCTTCCCACAGGACCCACCAAGTTTTCCCTAGGCCCCTCAGCCCCTCTAGGCTTCAGCCTTCACCTCAGAGTCAGGAACTCCTTGGTTTCCTAAGGGAGGAGGTGGAACACAGATCTCAGCTCAGCCTCCATCACCTCTTTCCCCAAGTTGTCTCCCCAGCCCTTCTCATCTCCCACATCCCCACTGTCAGGAGGAATCACTCACCTCATCCCAAACAGGGGCAAAATACATAAGTGCACCCCATACCACTGCAGAGAGAGAATCAGGTTCAGGGAATCAGGGGTTCAGTGACTAAGGGGCCTGAGGATTTGGAGGGCTAAGGGACACAGGGCTCCAGTGCTCAAGCCTTGGATGATTGGACATGGGGGCTCCAAAGTGTAGAAGGGCCTAGGCTGGGAACTGGGTGGGAAGGTTTCCTTCCCAGGGAGGCTCCAGAGGCAGCCTGGGGAGCAGGGATGGGAGATAGGGCTGTCTTAACCCTGAACCTCTGGCTCTGCCTCCCTGGGGGTTTGTCCCTGAGGAGGTCCCCCACATCCCACCCCTTGTCCTGAGGGCGCTGGGGGCTGAGGTTTGGGTTTGAGAGTGGCTCCCTCACCAGCCGTGAAGATACTGAAGAACAGCAAAGTTGTAAGCAGGAAGCGGAGAGAACGGACCTCCCTGGTGCAGGGACCAACAGAGAGGGAAGGAACGAGGGAGGGTTTGAGTGAAAAAGGCCCTCTCTACCTGCCTCTGGCTCCTCCCCAGCCCGCCTCCTGCCCCCTCCCCTACCTGCCTCCGGCTTTTCTTCCCTCAACCTCCGATTCCTCCCCTGCGCACCTCTGCCCCCTCCTCCCCACTCTCCCCGAACTCCTCCCCCACAGCGGCTTGGGCTCCTCCCCTACCTGCTTCTGATTCTTCCTTTCCAGACGGCCCAGCGTCTCCTCACCTACACGCTTTTGACTCCTCCACTGACCCCCTCTCCCAGACGGCTCTGGCCCCTCCTCTCCCCATGGCTTCTCCCCCTCCTCTACCCTCGCCCCCGTCTGGCTTCTCCTCCTTCCCTGTGGCCCCGCCCCTGTACACCTCCAGCTCCTCCTCCCCCGGCTCTTGCTCTCCCGCCCCTGGTTTCTCCCCGCATGGGCTCCCCTGCAGCCTCCCCTGCTGCCTCTTCTTCCTCTACACCCTCCACCAATCCTCCCTCCTTCCCTCACCTTGTGCTCTCCCCACTCACCCGCACCTGCCAAAAGCACCCACAACTTCTCCAAACACGGCGGGAAAAAATCCCAGCGCCTGGAGGACAAGGGCTGGGATGCGGGGAGGACAGATTGATTGAGGGGTCGGCATCTGAACAAGGCGTCTGGGATTAAGGGGTCAGAGACGGGGTAGACGTCTCGGTGGGGCTGGGTAAGGGTCAGGGGTGTCATACTTATCAGGCTCTTGGTTTGCTGCTGGATGGGGCGGTCCCGGGAAAGGTCCACGGGTGGATGGTGAAGGCTGCGGGGCTCTGTGGCTGCTCCTGCTGCTGCGGCTGTCGCTGCTGCAGGAGGCAGAGCCCGGTCCTGTGCGAGGCCTCCACTGGGACCCTCCTCTGGTCAGTTCCCGCCCGCTATCCCCCATTTCCCAAGAGCATCCCTTTGTCCTTACCGGTGCTCAGCCACAGACCGTCCGCTCCGCCCTCCTGGGTAGCGCGAGGCTCATTAGACGGCTTCCAGCCCACCTGTGACCTCCGGCTGCCTCTGTATACAGGATGCTCTCTGAGCCACGGATGGACCCCGCATCCCTCCCCGCTGCCTCTCGGACTCTTCTCCCCCAAGCAAAATCTCCCCGCTCCCACCCGAGCCGTCTGGAGGGTCACTTCCACCTTGGCACCCCGCCCTTCCCCTCACTTGCGGGAGCCGCTGTCCCGGGAGTTGGCGCTCACTGAGCTGTTGCTGCGGTCGCTGTAGAAATCGGGGTTGTGTTTATGGGGGGGTGCAGCTGAACCGGGCCTAGGGCTTCGCCGCATGATCCTTTTTCCCCCAGACCCGTCCCTACACCCTGCCCGGGTCCGGGCCTGGGGAGCTACCCACCACCCACCCTGAGGAGACCAGAGCAGCCCCCTACTCCCACCCTGAGGGTCCCACACGTGGGCCTGAATGTAGTGATCTCTTACAGATTCCCTATACTCTGAACCCCCGGCCCCAACGTCATAGAGAAGTATAAGGCCAGTCCGCTGACGTCACAGAGCAGGGAGAAAGGTGAGTGGGGCCCTTCTCCTGCATTCTTGGTGCTTATTTGTTGTTAGGGGTGGTGTCCAGGAGACTTTGTCAGCCCAGAATTAGTATATAAGGTTCTCTCTTCACTTCAGACATAGATCTTGGACCTCAGGCCTTGTGCCTTCTCTCTGATGATTATTTCTCTGTTGAGTATGTGTATCTATTGCTACTCATGCTGTATATAGCTTGTTTGTATGTTGTCTCCCCCATCTAGATTGTGAACTCTAGGGCATGAACTATATTTTATCTTGCTTTTCTTTTTCTTTCTTTTTCTTTTCTTTTCTTTTTTTTCTTCTTTCTTTTTTTTGCTTTTTGGTGAGGCAATTGGGGTTAAGTGACTTGCCCAGGGCCACACAGCTAGTGTCATGTGTCTGAGACTGCATCTGAACTGAGGTCCTCTTGACTCCAAGGCCAGAGCTCTATCCATTCCGCCACCTAGCTGCCCCTGTATTTTATCTTTCTTTGTATCCCCAGCCAATATTAGCAGTCCTATGCACATCTCCCTGTCTCTAGGGCCCCCACTCTCAAGAATCTGAAACAAAACTGCCCCAGGTCACACAGTAAAGCTGTGTTTAAGCCCAGACTAGAATCTAGGTGTCCTGATTCCCAAAGAGAGTCTCTCTATCCACATTGTACCACATTATGCAATGGTACATAGAAATTGTGCCGGATTTGAAGTCGGGGGATTTAACTTCAAATCCTCCCTATACCATTTCCTACCTATGTGACTCTGGACAAGTCAGCCTCTCTGGGCCTCCATTTCTTAAAAATTGAGTTAGAACAGACATTAAGGTTCTTTCCAGCTCTAAATCTCTCACACTGTGACTCAACCCTTTAATCCAAAAAAATTACTCTTTAATGGTGGAACTACAGGCAGCTTTTGAGGGGTATTTCAAATGTATGTGTATGGATTTTTAGTGCTACACAGTCCCATATACCCAATCTTGCTAGTCCTAATGAAGAAGGCTAGCATCATTCAGTGGAAAGACTGGATTTGGATTCATACATTGGGAATCTACCGCTTTCACCCTATCTGGCCTTGACTGAGGTACTTAACCCACTCTGGGACTCAGAGGGGTTGGATTACTTGACCTCTAAAATCTCTTCTAGCTCTGTCTGTGATCCAGTTGGAGTATATAAGGAGAAGACTTTGATGTTTTTTAAATACAGTTTTATTGATAACTTTTGTATTTACATTAGGGATTCCAAATATTGGGGCAGCTAGGTGGCACAGTGGACAGAGAATTGGGCTTGGAGTCAGGAAGACTCATCTTCCTGAGTTAAAATCTGGCCTCAGACACTCACTAGCTGTGTGAGCCTGGGAAAGTCACTTAACCTTTCTTGACTCAGTTTCCTCATCTGTAAAATGAGCTGGAGAAGGAAATGGCAAACCACTACAGTATTTTTCCAAGAGTTGGACACAACTGAACAACAATTCCAAATATAGCCATATTACCTTCTTTTTCTCTAAAAAATTCTTTTTTTTAACTTGACAAATACATTTCCATGACAAGAAAAAGAAGCTTTCATATGAAACCATGAATTTCTATTATATACTGCTTGATTTTGTTTTTAATTATGCAATTACACTTTAACATGTTAATTACCTACCACCACTGCCTTGTTTGTGTTGTCTGCTGAACCAACTTCTGCTCTCTAGGGTGAACATTTTAATGTTTCCTTGATGTTCTTTTTATTTTTTTTTACATTCATATTAAACATATTTTCACATTAGTGATGTTGTAAGTAAAAATCAAAACCAATAGGAGGAACCATCAGAAAGAGGAAACAAAACTCAACAGAAGAGAAAAATAAAATAGCAATTCGACTTCCATAGTTCTTTCTTTGGATGTGGATAGCATTTTCCATTACAAGGCCTCTGGAGATGTCTTAGATCCTTGTATTTCCAGGAAGGGTTAAGTTTATCAATATTAGTCATAACACAATGTGGTTGTTATTGTGTACAATGTTCTCATGGTTCTGCTCACTTCACTCAGCATCAGACCATACTAGTCTTTCCAAGTTTTTCTGAAGTCAGCCTGTTCATCATTTCTTACAGCACAATAGTATTCCATCACATTCATATACCGCAACTTGCTCAGCCATTCCCCAATTGATGGGCATCCTCTCAATTTCCAGTTCTTTGCCACCACAAAAAGAGCTGCTATGAATATTTGTGTACATGTGGGTCCTTTTCCTGTTTGTGTGATCTCTTTGGGATATAGCCCTAGAAGTGCTATTGCTGTGTCATAGGGTATGCACATTTTTATAGCCCTTTGGGCATAGCTCCAAATTGCTCTCCAAAATGGTTGGATCATTTCACAACTCCACCAACAATGCATTAGTGTTCCAGTTTTCCCACATCTTCTCCAACATTTATCATTTTCCTGTTTTGTCATGTTGGCCATTCTGATAGGTGTGATGTGGTACCTCAGAGTTGTTTTGATTTGCATTTCTCTAATCAACAGTGATTTAGAGCATTTTTTCATATGATTATAGATGGCTTTAATTTCTTCATCTGAGAACTGTCTGTTCATATCCTTTGATCATTTATCAATTGGGGAATGGCTTGTATTCTTATAAATTTGACTTAATTCTCTATATATTTTAGAAATGACGCCCTTATCAGAGAGACTGGTTGTAAAAATTCTTTCCCAATTTTCTACCTTCCTTCTAATCTTAGTTGCATTGGCTTTGTTTGTACAAAAACTTTTCAATTTAATGTAATCAAAATTATCCATTTTGCTTTTCATAATGTTCTCTATCTCCTGCTTGGTCATGAATTCTTCTGTTCTCCATAGATCTGACAGGTAAACTATTCCTTGTTCTCCCAGTTTACTTATAGTATCAGCCTTTATATCTAAATCATGTACCCATTTTGACTTTATTTTGGTATATGGTGTGAGATTTTGGTCCATGCCTAGTTTCTGCCATACTCTTTTCCAGTTTTCCCAGCAGTTTTTTTCAAAGAGTGGGTTCTTATACCAGAAGCTGGGGTCTTTGGGTTTATCAAATAATAGATTACTATAGCCATTGATTACTGTGTCTTGCATACCTAACCTATTCCACTGATCCACCACTGTATTTCTTAGCCAGTACCAAGCAGTTTTGATGATTGCTGCTTTATAATACAATTTAAGATATGGAATGGCTAGGCCACCTTCCCCTGCATTTCTTTTCATTAGTTCTCTTGATATTCTGGACCTTTTGTTATTCCAAATGAATCTTGTTATTATTTTTTTGAACTCTATAAAATAATTTTTGGTAGTTTGATTGGTATGGCACTGAATAAGTAATTTAGCTTAGGTAGAATTGTCATTTTTATTATATTAGCTTGGCCTACCCATGAGCAACTGATGTTTTTCCAATTATATAGATCTGACTTTATTTGCGTGAAAAGTGTTTTGTAATTGTGTTCATAGAGTTCCTGGGTTTGTTTCGGGAGGTAGACTCCTAAATATTTTATAATGTCTACAGTAAGTGTCAATGGAATTTCTCTTTCTATCTCTTGCTATTGGGCTTTGTTGGTAATATAGAGAAATGCTGATGATTTATGTGGGTTTATTTTATAGCCTGCAACTTTGCTAAAGTTGTTTATTATTTCAAGTAGTTTTTTACATGATTCTCTGGGATTCTCTAAGTATACCATCATGTCATCTGCAAAGAGTGATAGCTTTGTTTCTTCTTTGCCTATTCTAATACCTTCAATGTTTTTTTCTTCTCTTGTTGCTAAAGCTAATGTTTCCAGTATGATGTTGAATAACAGTGGTGATACTGGACATCCCTGTTTCACCTCCAATCTTATTGGAAACTCTTCTAGCTTGTCCCCATTACATATTATGCCTGCTGAAGGTTTTAGATAGATGCTATTTATTATTATTATTATTTTTTTAAGGCAATTGGGGTTAAGTGACTTGCCCAGGGTCACACAGCTAGTAAGTGTCAAGTGTTTAGTCCGAGGTCAGATTTGAACTCAGGTCCTCCTGACTTCAGGGCCAGTGCTCTATCCACTGCGCCACCTAGCTGCCCCTGCTATTTATTATTTTAAGGAAGATTCCATTTATACCTATGCTCTCTAATGTTTTTAATAGGAATGGGTGTTGTATTTTGTCAAAAGCTTTTTCTGCATCTATTGAGATGATCATGTGGTTTCTGTTAGTTTTGGTGTTGATATGATGAATTATGCTGATAGTTTTCCTTATATTGAATCAGCCCTACATTCCTGGTATAAATCCTACCTGGTCATAGTGTATTATTCTTGTGATAAGTTGCTGTAATCTATTTGCTAATATTTTGTTTAAAATTTTTGCATCTATATTCATTAGAGAAATTGGTCTATAATTTTCTTTCTCTGTTTTGACTCTTCCCGGTTTAGGTATCACACCATATTTGTATCATAAAAAGAATTTGGTAAGACTCCTTCTTCACCTATTTTACCAAATAGTCTATATAGTATTGGAATTAATTGTTCTTTAAATGTTTGATAGAATTCTTATGTAAATTCTTATGTAAAGATTATGTAAAAATTCTTATATAAATCTGGCCCAGGAGATTTTTTCCTAGGGAGTTCATCAATGGCTTATTCAATTTCTTTTTCTGAGATGGGATTATTTAAGTATTTTACTTCCTCTTCTGTTAATCTGGGCAGTTTATATTTTTGTAAATATGTATCCATTTCACTAAGATTGTCAAATTTGTTGGCATATAGTTGGGCAAAATAATTCCTAATTGTTGTTTTAATTTCCTCTTC